CACCCCCACCCACATGCGGTCCTGTGGGACAGCCTGGTCCGTCTCAGGGCTGACCCGCGCGCTCACCTCCAGCTCCACACGGAGCCGGGTCGGCCGCCGGGAGAGCCGGTGGATGTTTTCATTCCCCAGCCAGAAGTCCCCGCGGACGCTGCCGAAGCCCTGCTTGTACTGCCGCCAGTCCCGGGAGAAGGAGACGAGGCCGCTCTTTCGCCTCTGGATGACGGTCCAGCCGCCTCCTGCTGTCGCCATGTCGCAGAATACCTGGAGGGCGGTGCTCTGGTCAGGGCAGGCTGAGCGTGGGGGCTCCCCCTACCCCCTCCCCGCGGAGCACTTCCAGGCGTCCCTCGCTCCAGCACCGTGTCTGCCCCATGAGGGAACTGGGCAGGGTGGTGCTTTGCTGGGGAGGAGTTGTCAGAACTGAGGTGGAGGCGAGTGGGCACGTGCAGGTGCTTCTGGTGCTCTCCCTGCATGTTGTCTTCCGCCTTCCCCAAAGAAGACTGCTTTAGGACAGGCCAGGCAGTCTCGGCCAGGCCGGCCTCGGCCAGTCCCTGGCGGGTCCGGGACGACCTGATCCCTTACAGGGCCGGTGTGGCTGGATAGTGAGCTGGAGGGGCACACTAGCCTGGGTCCACCCCACGCCGGACACGTGTCGGTAGCTCTCTAGTGTGGCATTTGTGTGTCTGACCTGAGCGTCCCTTTCTTAGTCTGTGATCAGCCCCTCTGCCTCCAGCCCTCTGGGGGGCAGGTGCGGAACGAGGGAGTGGCTGTCGTGACCTCACCTCCATTTCAGGGCTGCCCAGGAAGTCATCAGGAGGAAGCTTGTACACGCCAGAGATGCGGTAGTTCTTCTGGTAGAGGGAAGAGCAGTCGTAGATGGCGTCTGCAAAAGAGCAGACTGCAGCTGAGCCCCACAGCCGGGGCTCTGGACAAGTGGCCGCTCCCCTCAACTGAAAGCCTAAGGGCAGGCTTCTGCCACAGAACTTACTTGAACGCCAATTACAGGCCGTGGCTGCATGTGGGGGAGGCGGGGTTGGGGGCCAGGAAGGGGTGGATTCTGGCTTTGCTGGAGGTGGCTACAGGGAAGCCCTTCGATCTGACCACCAAGAAGCTGGCTCCAGTTCCGTTCTCAGCTGTGGATTCTAGAAACCCGTGTGTGAGAGCCAAGTAACAGACGTTCCTGCTCAAAAGCCACTGGCGATCCTGCCCCAGGGTCAGGTTTTGTCGTTTCTTGGTTTTTCAGAGGTAAAGAGCACCATCTCCTACAACCTGACTAAGGAGGTAGAGTTCATTCTCTTTGCCTTAACCTCACACGCTAGTTTCTCAGTGACGCCCCAGGGCCCCAGGGCCTTCCACTGGCCCCATGATCACGGCAGAGGCTTGCATTCAGTCAGCTGGCCTGAAGGCGGCCCAGTGGCCCTGGCACTGCCTGCCAGACCTTGTCTTTGCTCCGAGTGCCAAGAGCATCGGCAAGGGCCAGATTCCCCCAGACCGCAGCAGGCTCTTGCTGGCCAGGAGCCGCCCTCCCTGCGTTCCCGGCTGGACTCTCCTTTTGCACCCATGGCAGGTTGGGCACATTCCTGGGGAGCTCAGGAGCAGGGCCACTGGCCTTCACCAGCCCTCAATTGTCCCTCTGCTGTTTCCGAGGAAAGCAGCAACTCGTGCTTCCCTGCGGGCTCCTAGCCCAGGGTTAGCAGGTGGCCCAGCACCCGGTGGCCGGAAGAAAAGTGGGGAGTGGCGTCCTGGGCAAGAGGAGAAGGCAGGAATTCTACATCTGGGACCTCAAGACACGCCCCGCTGGGCAGTGAGACAGTCTGGTGTGGAGGAACGCGGTGACCCGCCACCCTGGTCTGACCCAGCTTTCACGGGTCTGGTTTAATTTCACAGACTACACCACAGTCTGTTTTTCTAGGAAGTAGCTAAAGGGTGCCTTTCTGCCCCCAAACGGGGGCTGGGAGGTACCTGCCCAGAGCCAGATGCATGCTTGCTGGCTCAGGTAGCAGGGTTTTTTAAGCTAAGTTCATTAAAACTTTTTGTTTGTTTGTGGGAGGGTAGCTGGTGCTTAGCTCCAAGTTCCCCTCATTGCCTTGGTCCGCAGTGGGGCCAGAAAGGCTTATGTCAGCGGGAAAGGACGTACCTGGGAGGGGTGCTCCTCACAATGTCTAATGTTCAGATGGTTTCAGAACACCAGATTTCTCTCTAACATTAAGTTATTCTTGGCCTATCTGAGGAAAGCTATTTTGCAAAAGACATTAGATACATCTTACCTTGGGCCTATTAAAGAGCAAAATTTCAGCATTGCGTTCTTTTATCTCTTGTGCTGTCTGGGAATAATTGTATTTGATATCTTGGGGGGAAGTACAGAATTTCAGAATTGAGGGGCCTGACTCTTTCTGGACCGAAGAGATCTTCATCTGACTCTGAATAGTATCTGTGCCCTCAGTTCTGAGTCAGTGAGGACACAGGGTTGCCGAGGGCACAGCTCACTGAGTCCTGGGGGTGGTAGAGGACAGTTTTTGGCACAGCTTGACTTTCAGAGCAGTACACTTTCAGGGTGCAGCTCATTCCTGCTTCCCTTTGGCCCAGGGCAAGGAAGCCGGGGAAGGAAGACGGGGCCTGGGTCATTGCGCCGAGGCCGTGAGAGCGAAAGACCCGTGACACAGGTGCTGCGATAGGTTAAGGGCACTGGGACCCAAAGAACTATCCTAAGCCTCGCTGAGCGGGAAAGCAGCCAGAGGGGCCTTGTTCTCTAGAAAGTAAGCACGGCCCTCTAGTGCCCGGGAGTGACCGGAGGACCTGGCGACCGAGGAGAGCCTCGCTGCCCACAGAGGCCCCAGCCCGGGCCGCGCCCCTTACCTGCGGAAGTCTGCGTGACGGTCTGCGCCGCCTGCAGCTGCATGATGTCGATCTGGTTGTTCATCTGGGAGAACCTGCTCTCGGCATCTGTGAGCCGGGACTCCATGCGCTTGTTGCTGCTCTCCAGCTCCATCACCTGCATGACCACGCTCACCCAGTCCTGCTCCTGCTTCTTGCGCAGCTCGCCCAGCAGACTGCTTAGGTTGGCAGTTTGGGCCTTGAGCTCCTTCACCTCCTTACAGCAGGCGGCCGCTTTGAGCTGTGCAGGTGTCTTGGGCTTCGGCGGCTTTTGTGGCCAGACTGGGTGGCTGACGAAGACCGCGATGGAAATGCAGAGCCAGCCAACAGCCGAGAGGCACCTTCTCAGCATCTTCCGTGGGCCTGGGTGGAGGAGGGTCTGCCTGTGGGGGAATCAGGATATTCCCAGCCCAGGCTCGCCAAGCTGCAGCGTCTCGCAGCCTTGTGCTCACTCGTGACAGGCTCGCTGCTCTGTTGCTCGCTTTCCTTGCCCTCTCTAGCGCAGCTTAACTGGAGACCCTGCAGCTCTCCTTCCCCAGCCCGATTGCTCTCCAGACTCTTAAATATTGTCTGCTGCCGGCACCTCCACCCCAACCATGGCTACGCATGGTGCTCGAGCCCCTCCCAGCTCATCTGGGAGGGCCAGGTGCCTGTCGAGTGAAGTCAGCGTGAACTGAGGCCAGGGGCGGGGAGGAGGGAGACAGTGGCGAGTCTTGCTTTCTGAGTCTTTCTTTCCTTGCCTGTAGTCTCTGTGCTGAGACAGGAGGGCTGTGAATGCGTGTTTCCAGTTTTGCCTATTAGATTATACCCCTGCCAGCTCCTGGCTCAGCTCTATCAGCGGGCAGGGCAGGCTCAGAAGAATTTCCACATTCTGCTCTTAAGGTTATATAACCATGGGGTGAGCGGGGTGAGCGAAAGGTGCGCAGAGTTGAGAACAAGACTCTCCTCTCACGCAGGGGCACGTTAGTGTAATCCCGCCCTTCTGCAAGGATCTGCTCTATTTAGCCTCCTGCTGGACTTGCTTTTAATGAGGCTGCTTGTTCCTTTCTGTGGTCATCATTCATTGTTTTACAAAGCCCTCATTTAATCGAAATCTAGCCTCATCTCACATTTGAAAATTTCCAACTTTGAAAAGTTCTAGAAATAGAATAGAGCATCTCTCTGAGGAAGCGGAAAAAGGACTGAAGTTTGTATCCACAGGATTTTCTCAGTCTTTGTTTTTAAACACCTGCTTCAGCCAAGAGTGGGCCGGCCTTAGGGACATTTGGCAAGGAGGTGGCAGAGGTGACAGCACAAATGAGAACTCTGGAGTATGGGCGTTGCTCTGCGGTGGTCCCCCACACTTCCATCAGTCTGAGGCAGAAGACAAACCAGGAGGCCGTCGTTGGCCCATGATTCGGAACTTGGACAATACACCGAAGTGTGGAGAAAAGCAGCAGCATCGCCTAACAACCCCACCTGAAACCTCATTTCCCTCTTCCTTTGCTGTGGCCTCTCCCACGGGCCTCTGCACCTAGGTGCGCCGGCGGTCTATGCACCTGTGTGTGGTGGCTTTGGCCAAGACTGCCTGAGACACTGGCCCCTCACGAGGCGGCCGAGGACGCCAGGACCTTGGCTGATGGTGTGGTGGGGAGGTGTCTGGGAGCAGCTGAGCCATTTCTCCAGCACCTGCACAGGAAGCCCTCCCTGTGTCCGTGGCCGACACGGCCCTTCCCGCTCCTCGTAAAATTGACCACCCTTTGTTCCCCTCGAGTCCTGTTCCCCATAGAGAGGAAGACCTGTGTCTCCCCTGGACCCTGCTCCCCTGCCATTGTCACAGTCACGCTTGTTCGTTTCTGCTAAGTAATAGAGAGTTCTGCTCCTGTTTAGCACGAATTCTCTGCAAGAGTTCTGCTCACTCTCGCCTTGCAAAACTAGCTCTGCGACTTGTCCCTCAGCGTGTCCTCGGGGAGGTGCTGGTGTGTTCTTGACCCCGATACTTTGCAGCATGGTGTGCAGATTTGAAGCTACATCCTGTATGTGGTATATAGCATGTATTATATTTGAAGGCCACACCTCCTTTGAACAAAGGTAAAAACCTAGGATTTCAGCCAACAGCCTTGCAATAGGCTGTCGCTAAAAATGCATGAGCAAAGGGTGCTCTGTCTTGAAGCAGTAAGTCTGGCCCTTTGCCCTTAACACTGGGTCCACTTGGGAACACACTGTCCCGGAGCGGCTCTCGTTCTGCTGACAAGGCTCTGGGTCCATCACACACAGCCCCATTCCTGACTGCCCTATTTCCGCCCCAACTCCACACCACGAAACCCCCAGGTCCCTTTCCAGACACAGCTTCTAATGTCTCAGAGTAATTTCTGTTCAGGCAACTAAAGTTACCAAACCTTTTTTCTCTGAATTGAAAACCAGGCATGGATCTGGTGGGTCAGAGTTTGTTTTATCACCTCCCTCGTCTCTATTGCTAGTAAAGGCTGAGGAGGTGGCTGGCACCTTGTGGCAACTGTCATTCTGCTCATAAGATCCTCTCTAGGCCCCTGCTTTCTTTTTGCAAATATCTAGTGCAACGGACTCTACAGTCTTAGCACCGTGGAATTCATTTCACTCACACAAGCCTGGCCCCCTTGCCAGCATCTGCCAGGGTCTGCTAACCTTCCAGGGGCTCTTCAGATGACCTCCTGGGCATCCAAGGAGCTTAGCCCAGGTGTCCCGCGGCCACCGGTGCGGTCACGTGTGGCTTGCGGGGCCCCTACTGTCACAGCACCGCGGTAGAGAGCACGTGCAGCAGCCGAGCTGAGGAGTCCCAGCCAGCTTTTCGCTTGTTGTCCCCAGCTGCTTCCCCCGCCCAAACAGGAAAACATTCAGAATTAGCCATGTTCATATCAGGGCAGAGAATGAAACGTCATTTGTATTTGCAACCCATGTAGCAGTCCTTTCTGAGGAGGTGGGAAGGGTTTGCAAGTGGATCAGAGGCATCTGCTTTCCAACCTGAGTGCCTACTCTGTGACATTTATTTCTAACATAAGGCACAGTTGGAGACAAAAATATTTCTAATTTGAAGATTTTGGTAAATCTCCTAAGCTGTCCAAATGTCAACAAAAGCCCCACTTTTTTTTTTTTTTTTTAAAGGAAAGTAGCTAATTAAAGAGTATTTACCATGCCAGGAGACTATCTATTCCCCAAAACATCCACGCCCCTGGGATGGCCTAGATTTTGATTTTCTAAAAGAAGAAAAAGCAAGGCCTTGTTTTGAGTACAGCTAAGCCGGAAAGCTGAGAAGAATGTGACTGACTAGGGCAAGACTGTTAATCCCTCTCTGTTCGTGAGCAGAGTGGCCATAAAAGTGGGAGTTACTGCAGAAACAGGGCACCTACAGTTTTGGAATGTCGTTGTGTGGAAAATAATCCCCTTTCGAGAGGAGACGTCACCTCTTCTGATGCCTTCCTGCCCTGTTGAGTCACGTCTTGCTTTCAGAAGTAATGGGGGAGAGAAGCAGCTCCCCTCGGTCCTAGGCTCACAGTTCAGAAGAATGGGCAGAGGCTGCCCTAGACTGGACAGCTCAGAAGAACCTGCCCTGTTTTTAGTTTAATTGTGATTTCATGGGAATAGTTTTGCTTTTTCTGAAGACTTACTGTATATAGCCATTTAATCTCCGACTCTCATTTTTCAGCTGTGATGTGTTCCCATCCATCACAGAAGATACTTCCATGTCTCCCCTAGCCCCTCTGATTCACCAGTTCTGTCAATAGCCTTTGAATCCGCCACGTCACGGTCCTGTCAGAAATCATTTCTTTTATTTGGTTAAAGCTGAAGAGCTGGAGGGAGCTGGCCCTGGACCGCCATAGTTCAGATTGAGGGTATGATTGTTCCTCTGGAGACGAAGGGACTGTGGAGGGACTCCAAGGTGCTTTGGCCTCTTGTGCTTTATTTTGCCAACAGTTTCACCAGGAAACTTTATAGTTACCAATAAGATTTTTGGCTGAAAGTAGGTAGTTTTCGAACAACGGCATTTCTTAAAATTGTAATGCTCATATGAAGTGCCCTGAAGGGGTCATCTGGCTTGAGGACTAAGGAGGTGGGATATGAAAGATTGTAGGTGCTTAGGTCCAGAGTCGGACATACCCGAGTTGGTACTTGTAGTCCCCTGGGCACACTGCCTAGCTCCTTTGAGTTTGTAATCTGTGAAACTGATGTCGAAACTCTAGCTGTTTTACCTGGCAGGATTTTGGATCAATGGAACAGAATTAATGTCCAGAAACTGACCCACATGTTTGGACACTTGATCTATGATGAGGTAATACCACAGGACAGTCAGGAAAGAACATCTTTTCATTAAGTTCTGTTGCGTCAGATAGTCTTGTGGGCGGGAAGGCTGTTGACCTAAGCTTACCTCACTCCACATGCAAAATCTCAAGCCCAAGAGATTTGAATTCTGAATGTGAGAAGTAAAGCAATAAACCTTCTAGAAGATAACATTCAGCATTTGGGATAAGCAAAAATTTCTTAAATTAAAGGAAAGCATTAATAAATGCGGTAAAAGTATAGTTGTTTCTGTTCATTAGGAGACGCTGTGAAGCAACTGAAAAGATGAGAAGATATTCCCAGACAGAACCTTGTGTAGACATACCCTGATCTACAGAGAAGGCCGCACAAGCCAAAAAAAAGCGAATGCAATTAAAAGATTGGCAGGCGATGAGAACAAACATTTATTTCACAAAAGAGGATACCCAGATGGCCAGTAAGCACAAGAAAAGCTGCTCAAGCTCATTAGTCATTATGGAAATTCAAATTAAAACCGTAAGATGCTACTTATTACACACCAACCAGAAGACGGTCGTGGAAACACTAAAATACTGATTACTGATGGGGAGTGAGGGAGCAGCGGGTCGCCATGCACCCCAGTGGAAGCGTGCCTTGGCACAGTGCCTGAGCGCTTTTTGCCGGTGCCTTCCATGCGGGCACGTGGGCACGCCCGTCTCCCAGCAGCTCTGCCAGGCGTCTGCCCAACAGAAACAAGGCCGCAGACGGGAATGTTTGCGGGAGCCCTGCTCATAGCAGCTAAATAAAGCCTGAAACAGGTTGTAGGCCTCTAAGTGCTGAGAACAAGGCATTATGGGACGGCACCAATGAAGTGCTAGTCCACAGTAGGGCGGACACTAGCGTGGCCTGCACCCACCTGGGCATACCACACAGGTGCAACACCAGTCGGAACTAGGCATGGTGTCATGAGGCAGGTAGCTGTGCGAGGAGGAAGGGAGCCAGGCCGGGGGAGGCATGGGAGCCTTGGGGTGCTGGCTGTGCACTGTTCTGTGGTGTGCTCTGCCTGCCCATTACAGGGCATCTGCACTTTGTGGTCGGTTAGCAATCTGACCGCTGGGTGTGCTTCACCCTCTGTGTGTTATACGTTCCATTAAGATGCTCAATTGAGAACGGACCGTGCATGTAAAACACTTCGAGTGGCATTGATGCCTCATCCATGTCTGGTGAAGAGGAAGCAGTTGGATTAGGCAATATCATTGTGTCAGAACCACCTCCCCTGCCACCCTGGTCCAGGCCAGGCCCAGGGCTCCGTTTTCTGCACAGAAACACTCGCTCAGTTGCAGTTTGTATGGCCATGTGATGCGTGTGCTTGGTCTGTCTCGGCCACTGTCGCTCTAGCATCTGCCATTTGCTCAGAGCATGCTCGGTTGGAACTTGTCAGGTAAAAGAATTAATTCCCAGAAGCTTCTCTTCCCCAAATAACCCTCAAGGGAAGGGCTCTGGGGCTTCTCCTA